GGATTCTTACGATTTTGAGCAACTTCTCTGAAGGGTAGGGTCCCAGGCTTCTTTTGAAAGGAAGAAACTCCGTGGGCTGGGATTCTTCCTGGCTCCCAAGCTGGACATTTTCTTTTTCCTGGATCCTCGTGAGGCCTCTTTGTTCTATCCGACCCTGGTCTTCCCACGGGAACTTGTTGGTCCCCTGAAACTCCCTGCTTTTGTTTTTTATTTTTTTATTGAAGTATAGTTGATTTACAATGTGTTAATTTCTGGTGTACAGCAAAGTCATTCAGTTATACACATACATATATGTGTGTATATATATATATATATCCTTTTTCATATTCTTTCCCATTACAAGTTATTACAAGATACTGAATATAGTGGTATTGAATACAGTTCCCTGTGCTATACAGTAGGACCTTGCTGTTTATCTGTTTTATAATATAATTGTTAGTACCTGCTGATCCCAAACTCCTAATTTATCCCTCCCCTCTACTTTCCCTTTGGTAACCATAAGTTTGTGAAACCCCCCTTTTTGAACTCCTGCTGACTGCGTGTCACTATGGTGCTCCGTCAGCTTCTTTTCTTGGTCCTGTGATTTTATGGGCAGACCTTGTTTCATAGGGCTTCGCAGATACTGCATGTGTTACAAATGCAAGGTCTGTGGCAACCCTGTGTCGAGCTGGTCTATCTGTGACATTTTTCTGATAGCATTTGCTAACTTCATGTCTTTGTGTCACATTTTGGTAATTCTTCCAATATTTCAAACCTTTTCATTATTGTGCTTGTGAAGGTGATCTGTGATCAGTCATCTTTGATGTTGCTATTGCAAAAGGATTACAGCTCCCTGAAGGCTCAGATGATGGTTAGCATTTTTCAGCAATAAAGTATTTTTTAATAAATTGGTTTTATTAGACATAACGCTATTGTACACTTAACAGACTACAGTATAATGTAAACATAACTGTGCATGAAAACCAAAAAATTTGTGTGACTTGCTTTACTGCAGTATCCACTTTATTGCGGTGGTCTGGAATCAAACTTGTAACATCTCCAAGATCATCCTGTACTTAGGAAAATTTGGAACTTCTCTGGCTTCTTCAGGTAACTTAAGATTCCCCACACTGGCTCCTGTAAGATCCTTCCACTCCTCCTTCTTTCTCTTCCCACCTTCCATCTTCCCTTCAGTTCCTTTGCATACTATGCCAGGCCCCACTTCAAGCCCCTACCTCCTCAGCCCCTCTGTCTGCCCTACCAGGCCTTTCCCTTCCCACTCCTGCCCCTCAACTCCCTACAGGCACTGGAACTTTGGGCCCCCTGTCCCCATCAGGAGCTCACAAGGGACTCAGATACCTCCAAAAGCAACTACCTGAAGCTGAAAAGGAAAAAAAGAAAAGCCAATTGGAAAGACATTTAGTCCACAGTCTCCATACGATTAATATATCAGGGCAAAAAAACAAAATAAAACCCAAACTTCCCAAAATTCCTAAGTGTCTTCTGCACAACTAGTGGTAGAATGCTTTAGTCCTCACACTGAGCAAACCTTTAAAACTTGCTCCATCTGCCAGAAACACAACTTGGATAAATATATGATATACAGCAAAACTGTGAACTCTCATTTAGAGAATTAAATATCCTTTTATTTTTTAAAAACTTTTTCTTCTTTTTTTTTGGGGGGGGTAATTAAGTTCATTTATTTATTTTAATGGGGGTACTGGGGATTGAACCCAGGACCTTATGCATGCTAAGCACACACTCTACCCCTGAGCTATACTCTCCTCCTTAAATTTCCTTTTAAATTTCCCAATTTTATTGAGACATAATTGATATAACATTATGTTAGTTTTAGTTGTATAACATGATGGTTTGATATATGGACTTATTGCAAAATGATTACCACAATAAGTTTAATTAACATCCATCACCTCACATGAAGTGAGTTTTACATTATTATATTTATGCCTGACTTATGGTTAAAATTTTTAAATGAATACTGCAAGATCTCTATTTGCATCTATTTATAATACATACATACACTTATATTTCCCTACCTTTGGATGGTATTACCAAATTAATTTATAAAATCCCTTAAAGGAGTTGTATCCTAATTTGCTTAGAGAAAAATAAATGCTTTTATTAAATTAAATCTTCCTAAAACTTCCAGAAATATTGGAACCAACTCAAATGTTTTTTGACTTCAATCTGCGTAAATCTTTGGTAAATAAGACTAGTTTGATGTTCTTGGTTTAATAAGATGGGTATGTCTTCAGAGTTGTTAACTTTAAATACAATGCAAGCATATCGTTTTATTCTACTTGCGCTTACTAGTCAAATAAGCTAATATTTACTAGATGTTTAAGATAATTAAAAGAATACATTTGATATTACTCAGATTAAATCATTCTGATGAACTTTATTTCAACAATAATTGTGTCTTACATATTGTTTAAAAATCATTTCCAAGATCTTTTTTGGCTAATCCTAAGTTAAGTAATAGTAATTAAATATCTAAATTTTAAATAAGATAAAGTGCTAAAACATTCAGTATTAAGCATAAATTTATATACTTTTGGCTTCTTATTTTTATATGGTACAGAGAGGCCAAAGATATTTGGGTCTCTTGCTGAACATGTTTGTCTTGCCATCTAAAAATATTATATTATAAAAGGCATATGCCTCTAGAGATTATGAAGTGGTATATTCATAAAATGTGTTCATCTGCTACAGAATACTGGTATCTGATAGACAGCTCACAATTTCTACTTCCTAGTTTTTGCTGTAAAATAAAGGCTACTAATGGTTATAATTTATAATTGATACATGAAAATAAAACTACCAGAAACAGTAACAGTGAAGAAAAACAATGATGTACACAAACTATGGGAGAAAAGTAGGATTTTTTTTTTTGGATAAAAAGTATGTAAGGAATGTAAATGTGTTTTTGTTAAGATTAAGAAGGAGAGTAATTTTGTCCTGAAGGAGAATGTGAAAGAGGGAAAGAATAAGACAAAACCTGAATGGATGCAGAATGTTGTAGAGGGTTTGTGGAAAAAAAATTTTATGTTGTGAGGTCAAGGCTGGCTAAGATTAAGAAGATTGATATATAAGGTGCTTTTTTATTTTTTAAATGAACTTTAATATCAATAGCGTACTGATACAAAACCAGAGTTTGGTTCTCTCTCTGTCAAAATGACAGTTTCTTGGATTATTGGTCTGCTGTTAATAAAAAGTTGCAAAAGGTTTTTCTTTACCTTTTGCCTAGGAAACTCATATTCTGTATCTTATCAAAATAATTTCCTGGGCTTCTTGTTGTCTTTATCATGTCCTCAATTATGGAAGAGAACCGAGTCTTCTCACTGTTAAAAGAGCTAAGGTTTTTGGTTTTTTTTCCATGTTACCTCATATTTGCCTTTGAAATCTTTTATTATCACTTTGGTTATACACATAACTAATTATTGTTCCACAGTGACCTATGATCCTATTTAATTAAATATTCAAACCTTTTAACATTTTTGACAACTTCCTCAGATCACATTCTAAATAAGGTCTTCCTGACCTTGAACTGACTTTGAAGTTTCTGAGAGGGCCCCTGGAAAACCTCAAAGGATCTGTTCTCTTGCCTTGTAAAAAGAGATCTTAAACTAAGCGGGTTTTTGTGATGTAGTAAATTACAATGGAAGCACTGTCAAAGAAAAGGTAGTTAACCTTCCCTAGCTTAGTTTTACATGGGTAAAATGTTGTTATTTCAGAAATTGTATAAAGTTCTCAAAATTTGTTAATGCCTTCACTATCCATGATACGTTGTGGTAAGATGTTATCAGCCCAGTTATTATTTTTGAATGTTATATGTCACAGAAACAACCAGATTTCCTTTTCAATTGTGCTATTTTTATAATGACATCTCATCGGATCTTTAACTATGGCCATTTTAAGTTTTTTGCTATCCACAGATGGTTGCCATCTTATTCTGGTGCTTTCCTAAAAGCCCTTGCAACCAGCTGTAGGCCACAGTACGTGTGTTCAACAAAACGGTACCATGCCAGTTGCTCTGGGAAACAGGCTTCTGATGGCATTGGTTAAATAACCAAGCTCAGGCCAGTGGACCAAGTAAGGATTTCTGAAACGCTAATACAAAAGCCCATGGGTTTATAAAACTGTTAACCCAAGATCAAGCAGAACAAAACTAATTACATAGGATTGAGTAAACTGACAAAGGTTGATGGTAACTTTTTACAAATATTTTTTGTTCAAAATATTTCTGGCTCTTAAATGTTCTATTTTCTGGATGTAAGGAAACCCCCTTCTCTTTTCCCTCAAGATATCTATGACTCATTAACAATCTAAAAGTGACATACTTTTGTAAACAAGATTAGAACATTTATGTTTTTCTCCCTGCCTGATCCCTCAAAAAATTGGAAACTATTATTGAGTATTCTTATTTTCAGGGCAATATAGTCATTTGTGTAGGTTCAGTAAGAACCTGTCCTCTTTGTAATAGGACGTACTTAAAAATCAGGCTTTGACAGGAATGTCGTATTTGAAAATGATGTAGAAAGTCATCAATTTTAAGGATTTAAGGTTGTGTTGACAGACAATGCTTTCAAAGCCCTGTTACAAAAACTGGCCTGTTCTCTGGTGTACAAGGTTCCCAGCTTTACAGGTGAGTAAGGTCACTTCCTGGCAGGCCCAGGAATCTTAGAATATTTTGGGGACTTGGAGAAGAGAGGAATTCACCTGAATCTATGGGTACTATAGGTGAAGAAGTCTGATGGAGAATTCTTGGCTTGACTTTCCAGCACTGAGAGGCTTTTAAAGGCCGATCTGAGATTACTTATACAGGCATACTCAGAGATATTGTGGGTTGGGTTCCAGACCACTGCAGTAAAGCGAATATTGAAATAAAGAGAGTCTCATGAATTTTTCGGTTTCCCAGTGTATATAAAAGAGATGTTAACACTATACTGTGGTCTATTAAGTGCACAATAGCATTATGTCTAAAAAAACAATATACATGCTTTAATTTAAAAATATTTTATTGCGGAAAAAATGCTAACCATCAGCTGACGACGCAGGATTGCCACAAAACTTCAACGTGTAAAACAATGCAGTATTTGCAAAGTGCAATCGAACTAGTGATGCCTGTAAAAAGTTCCATTAAGAAAGCTTAAAAAGGCCTTTATGGTCGATTACCATTCTTGCTACACTTAAGTAAATAATCAGGCCAAATTTAATGAAACTAAAATTATTTTGGAAACAGGAACAATCTTACTTTATCTTTGGTTGAAGGGGGTGGTGTTGACTATGGAGAGAAATTTTATGTTCCATTGGAAAAGCATAACACATCCTTGTGGATTATCAGAGTCCACTTCTGTTCACTGTCTTTGTGGTTTTATTATCTACCTGTAAACTGAACTCGATCCCGCCAATCTTACACGTTTTGTCAGTCCTTACCGAATCCTCAGTTCTAGTTTCCTTCAATATCATGCTAGTTTTCCAAACTGATGTTTCCAATTTCCCTCCCTCCTGACCTGGTGTCACCAAGACTAGAACCTGGTTGCCCAGATGCTTGCTGGGACTCAGGCTGTCTCATAGCCCCTTTCCTCCAGGATCTGGAAAAGTCCTGCAGGCAGAAGCTGGATGACTTGATAGAAACTTCACAGAACTCGTCACCACAACAAATCACGGGTGGGTAACCTTTGAGCTTGGAGTTGCTGCCACAAAGGGCGCTCAGAAAGCCCACTACAACACCCTCTTCTGCGCTGTGCTCTGGGAGAAAACCATGACTGCGATGCTGATGTCTCTGCCATCACCACATTCGGACTGCCACCCAGGAAGTGCATCAGACTGCCCCTGCTCTCCTCATGCCACCACTTAAAGATGCTTAAGCGTCCAGTGTCTTCTCCAGTGGTTGCCCTCTAGACTCGGAGACTGGGCTTATAGTCTGTTTCAACCATTAATCCTTGGTTTTCTTTTTGTTTCCATAGAGATGCTACTCATATAATGTGTGACTGCTCATGTCATCCAGCAAATATCCTCTACTACCAGGTCTCAACGGCTGGCTCAGCTAGTCCTTCATAAACAAAAGACAATCGAGTGAGAAAAGGGCTTCTGTTGTTCTGTCTCTTTCTGGCTGTTTGTTCCAGTCGACACCTGAAGATAGGGCCCCTGTCTCCTAGGCTCTGTCGGAGGGTGGGGGCCTAACTTCCGTAAGTGCCAATTAGCAAACGCAGAGGAATTTCACAGGACCAACGCTGCTTCTGGCTTTTAAAAAAATTTTCACTTTCTTGACTGTACTGAGCCCCTGCGTGCCTCCATCCCTACTCCCTCTTTCTCTGTTTAAAATGCCCAGTTACTTCTGTACAAATTGAAACCGAGTTCAGTTCACGCTGGAATCTTTTCCCTACTGCAATAGTTATTACTGATTCAAATCTGTCCTTACCAATGCTGATTAGTATCTGGCTTTGTTTATCTTTGACAGTACATCTCTCTGAGCTCCTGCTATCAGTTCTTCAGGGGTACACCCAGAAGTGGAATTGCTGGATTGTACAGTAGTTCTATTTATAATTTTTTGAGGAAATGCCATACTGTTTTCCATAGTGGGTACTCTGTTTTACATTCCCACCCACAGTGCACAAGGCTTCCAACTTCTCCACATCCATGCCAACATTTCTTATTTTCTGTTTTTGTTTTTTTTTTAATCCTTGTAGCACCCATCTTAATAGGTGTGAGGTCATATTTCACTGTGGTTTTGATTTTCATTTCCCTAATGATTAGTGATGTTGAGCATCTTTTTTCTCTTTCTTTAAGATGGGTGGGAGGGACACGGATATTTGTTCTGTTATTATTCTTTCTTTCTTTTTTTTTTAACCACTTTGATCAGAACTTTATTCAAACTTAGCTGTCTAAATGTTATTATTCTCAGTCATATTTGTGTATTATTTGTTAAGAAATTAATATTTTGTAATTAAAAAATAAAAGTCTACAAAGATCTAACAGGAACTGGGGGTGGTCTCTGGTGGAACACAATCTGACCATCTTAGACAGTAGACTGGGGACATGGATTTCAGGCGGATTGTTGGGCTAGGTTCCTGTCTTTCCTGCTATAGATTTATATTCCTTCTCATCTTTTTAGGGACCACCTCCCCACCCCCACCTTCTACCTGCTTCTCAGAATAGACTCCCATAGTCCCTGCAAAGTAGGCAGCACGCTTTGTAAGTGCATCTCCTCAGCCCTCACTGATAGGGCTGGAGTGGACATCTGACTCAAGCTGGGGCAATCAAATTCCCTATTCAAGGGATCTAGATTGGGTCTAGGAGACTCCAGACAGCTGGTAAAAGGTCTTGTTCTTATAAGGCAGTAGACCAAGAAGGACTAAGGAGTCAGCTAGGGGTGGGGCCATTTTGGAGCACTGTACACTAACAAGGAAGTAGCTGGAACCGGTGTACAGAGGGGAGAGAAGTATGGAGGGAACTGCCAGGGGCACTAAGTATTTAACCACAGTCTCAGTTCCAGACTGCTATCTGGTTCCCAGATCCTGTTCTAGAAAAGCTCTTTTCACACTATACCCTACTCAGCTTAGGGACTTTGCTCTGGGAGTTTCCTTATAATAACCTCCTTTTATCTGGGCTAATATGAGTTGCTCTCTCCTCCCTGCAGTCAAAGGATCCCTAAGTTAATAGCTTTTATTCTCTTATTTAAGGGGTGGCACAAGTCAGGGATGGAGAGAAAGGCTGTTCTTGCTTAAAAATAGCTAGAAACAGATCTAGCCTCTTCAATCTGAGAGCCAGGAGCAGTGGAGACAAGGATGCACACCCCATATTTACAATCTGGGCCCAGTTCGGTCATGGGCTTCTCCTCCTGGGTTTTGCAGAAGAATGTTGACTGCATGGTCTTGCCTGAGTTGGCTTCAGCCTATATCCCTCACCTTATCTTCCCCTACTTGGCAAAGGGGAGTGGGAGCACCCTCTCTCATATAATTCTCAACGGGCATATCTCTGGTTTTGGCAGACAGCTTGTTTCTTTAGCAAGAATATGAATCCTTAAAGGCAGAAATGTTGACTTGTCTCTGTTTTACAGCTCACCATGTACCTGCCATTGGATGAGCATATAATACCTACTTATTGAATGGATGGCTCTACTTCAGTGCTTACAATTTCTTTCCATATTTAAGAAAGTCAAGAAATGAAGAAAATACCTCCTTCAAAAGCTCTGCTCACACTGTCAGTCAATTCTTTCTGTTTAGCTGAAAAAGAAAACCATTATCTTAATTTTCCTATTTAAATAGACTTCTACTATGAAGACAACCCTCTGTCATCTTGCTGTGAACACAATGCAGCAGGGAGCCTGGATTCAAGGGAAGGCTTCTTACCCTTTGTCTCTACACGTTCCATGATGGCAGCTCCTGATAAGTGAAGCTCAGGCTGACCTTGGCTACACTGTTTTTCTACCCAAGAAAGGGTATCACTAAAAAATCATTTAAAAAAAAGAAAGAAAGAAAGAAAAAAAAGGACAAGGAAATGCTTTGTTTTTTCTTTCTTTCTTTCTTTCTTTC